CATGCTGCGCCTGCACACGGGTCCCATTTGAGGGGCCCGACGGTTGCTGAGGGGCCCCTAGGCCGCGTGCCATCCAACACGCGCCCTTGAGGCCCACGGCGGCCCTCCAGGCCCTAGGCAGCACACTAGATAGATAGGCTGTAGTTTTACTTCCCGATTTTTTGGTGTGTGTGTGCTGTCTTATTTTTGTCTGTTCAGGTGCCGTTTCGGACTTGCCGCCCCAAGGCCGGACCTTGGGACAGGGTACACCGGAGGCAGGCCCGAAACGAGGCCAGGCGCATTTTGGCGCCAAACCAACAGGTACCGACGTCGTTTCGGTCCTACAGGACCCAAGACAACACCTTGGGCCAGGTGCACCAGTAGAAGGCCGTTTTTAGGGCAGGCGCATTTTTGGGCCATGCTGCAGCAGCAGCAAGGTCTGGACGTCCGGTAGGGACGCAGACCACCTGGGCCGTTTTAGGCCACACAACACCAGGTAGGCCCAGCCGCCCAGCGCTACAAATAGCTGGGCAGCGGCTGGGCCACACACATTCCGAGTCGCTCACTTCTGAGCGACACGCTGCTAGTTGGAGGTTGCGCTATGCTGCGCTAAGTCACGGGGTAGAGAGTAGGGAATAGGAGAGATAGGAAGTGGCGGAGGCCATACCTGTAGTCAGCGAGCTTACCTGGCGCCGTAGCTGGGCTCCACGCGGTACCTGCACACAGCAATGGACGAAGTCAGTTCAGGGCCAACTACCTGCAGGTGAGATAGCGAGGAGGGCTTCACCTTCCTCTCTCCCTCCTCCATCTCTCTCTCTCTCTCTCTCTCTCTCTCTCTCTCTCTCTCTCTCTCTCTCTCTCTCTCTCCTTCCTCCTTATCTTTTCTTCTTCGAATCTGCGAGTATGAGAGGTTATCAGTAGGGATTCAGGCAGAGGTTATGCTGGGCGCATTGCCCAGGATCTGATTCGACATTTCTGGGACAAACATTGATTGGACACTCGGCAAGGGACTATTTTTTGGACTTCGCTATTGCGATTTTGGTTTACTCCCTCGCCTCCTTCCTCCTCGTCTTGTCCCTCCCCCCTCTCTCATCCGTGGTATCTCCCCATGTATGTGTGCGCAGGAGGGACCTTTCTTCCATGTGTGCGGTCTCTCCTCCCTCTCCCACATGTATGATGTGTGATGGATGTCGGGTCAGTCCAGATCAGATCAGATCTTCTCTTCAAACCTTCCGCTGTGCCATTTTGCGCCATCTTGTATGTATTCGGAATGTACATTGCTTGTTGATGCTGCGCTAACCTCGCATTGTCCATTCAGTCCTTTTCATCACATAGCGGATCCTTGGCTCCCTGCGCATTGTCCCAGTCGACATGCGTCAGTTTTGGTATTGGAGCCTCGCGTGTGAATCAGGACGAACCTGATCTGACGCGAGCGAGGGACAACCCAAGAACGATTGGGTAAGTCAGGATTGATCGATCGATTAACCCTGGGTTAATCGATTGATTGATTGATTAACCCTGATTGATTGATTGATTGATTGATTAGGGCGCACTAGTTAGTTCCCAAAATCGCAGATTCTGACCTAACTGCCAAATCGAAATTTTCTCTCCTCTGTGGATTTCATTTTCCCGCTATTTTTTTCTTGAGGTAAATCGCAATAGCAGGACATCTGAAAGTTTCGTTTCTGAACTCGAAACTTCGATGCTGAAGAACCGGAATATTGCACCTTTCCGTTATTTCGAGAAATCTCGCGAATTTTTTTTTGTTTTGTTTCTGAAATTCAAAATTTCGTGGCAGAGAAGTCCGAATTTTTTTTGAAAAGTTCCGATTTTATCCCGTTACGAAAATTCCCGTTATTCCGAATTTTTTTTGAAATTCGTTTTTCAATTCATTCTGAAATTCGTTTTTCATTTCCGAAATTATTTTTGAAATTCGTTTTGCACTTTCCGAAATTCGTTTTTCACTTCCGAAATTATTTCTGAAATCCGTTTTTCATTTTCGAAATTATTTTTGAAATTCGTTTTTCACTTTCTGAAATTCGTTTTTCACTTTCGAAATTACTTCCAAAATTACTTATGAAATTTATTTTCGAAATTATTTTTGAAATTCGTTTTTCACTTTTTGCAATTCGAAATTATTTTTGAAATTCGTTTTTCATTTCCGAAATTATTTTTGAAATTCGTGTTTCACTTTTTGAAATTCGTTATTCAATTTCGAATTTTTTTCTGAAATTCGTTTTTCAATTTTATTTTTTTTTTGAAAATTCGTGTTTCATTTTCGAAAATTCCGAATTTTTTTTCTGAGATTCGTTTTTCTTTTCGGGAATTCCTCTTGCAAGCGTTCGTTTTCAAATGGCGCATACTCTCACCTACGATATTCCAATTTTTTTTTTTTTCTCGGAATTTTCTGGACCTGCGGGAACCGATATTTTTTCTGTTTTTGCAGTCCTGTATCTCCATTTGACATTTTGATGCATTCGGCAGTCTAAATTTGAAATTTGTGGCTCTAATTGCTGAGGGGATATCTGGGGGGCCTACCAAACTTGCAAGTTCAAAATTTTTTTCTCTTGAAAATGTTGCAAGTTCCCAAAAAATTTTTTTTTAATTAGTGGCTCCATATATGGGCGACCATCCGATTGCCCACTCCCCTTCTCTCCACCCCAACCCTTCATCCCTTCTCCGTCCTTCTTAACTGCCCATTCCCTGTCAGTTGCAGACCAGGTAAGACCTCGCTTCAGCAGACCACGTCAAAGACCCACAGCGCAAAACCATCCTTACTCGCTCGTAGACAGCAGCGATGGATCAGAAAGCAGGCGAGACTGACGAGGCCTACGAGGCACGACTGGCGGCCATCATGGCCGAAACCAATCAGCGGGCAGACGCAGCGGCAGCAGCACGGAAGAAGAAAGAAGCAGAGGCAGAGAAACAGCGTCTTCTGGCTGAAGAACAGCGGTGGAAGCACGAGGCAGCAACAACCAAGGCCGCTGATGAAGAACGCGTACGGCGACGCGAGATTATATTCAAAGAGGAAAGTGCATTACACGCACAGGCCAAGGATTGGCAGAGGGAGGCCGAGAACGGTGATCCCGTTGACGTCGGGAGCAGAGTATCTCAGCTGCTCAACCGTGTTAACTCCTCGCGACTTGCATCGCGCAGCAGGAGGACATTTACTCCCTCGGTCACGCTAACCAGGCGCTGCAACAGTCGTCGGACCAGATGCTCAAGCGCATTCAGCAGCTGGAGCAGCTGGTCGCTAACACCAATGCCAGCGCCGACCCCTCCGACCTCGCCAACCGCGTCAACGTCTTGGAGATAGACGTGGGGATACTCAAGGCCGGGGCGCAACAGCACGTCTGCACCGTAGCCAACTCCAGCAGGACGCCACGTGAGACCATTCTCAAGTTTGACGGGCTCCCGATCTTCTGCGACGCATCGAAGACGGACCCCATACAATGGCGGCGCCAGTTCGACCTCAAGCTGGACCTCCACCACATCACCAACGAGAGCCGGCACACCTATTTGTACTCCCGCTCGGGAGGCGTGTGTCAATCATGGCTGGACAATATGTTGTCCGCACATGCATGTACAGCCACAAAATTACACAAGTACATCACCTGGGCAGATCTGACGGCGGCATGGAAGAAGCGTTTCCAAGTGGAACCGCCTGAACACCAGGCGACGGACAAGTTGTTGACGTTCACGCAACACAACATGCCAAGCGGCGACTGGATATCCGAGTTCCAACGCCTCGCAAGCACGCCCAAGCTGCCGCTGAATTTTGACGGCATCAAGCTCTATTTCATCAAGAGGTCGTGTCCGGCGTTGTAGAATGCGTTGACTCATGTCGCCGACACCCTCACTACAAGCGAGGAACTTTTCAACAAGGCCACGCAGATCATTGTGACAAACTTGGCAGCCCGGAATACGGGCCACTCGTCAAATGCCGGCCAGGGCGCGCATCAGCATCGACCGAAAGTGGCCGTGGTCGCAGCGGCAACGACTAACGACCCTTCTACTTCAAACGAGGCTGCTTCGTCTGACGAGGGAGACAGATTCGCAGCTCCCCAGAATGGTGGCCGCCCCGCCAAAGGACGAGGACGCGGCAAGCCGAAGACCAACACCAATACTTCTTCTGGGCCCGGGCAAGCAGCTCCAGCTCAAGGACCTTGGACAGCGTACGGTCTGACGGAGCCCGGGATCGCGTCCGCACCAAGTACCGTTATTGTTTGTGGTGCAATTGCGCGGTCCATGAGACCACGAACTGCGCACAAAAGCCAAGGGCTCCGCTCAGTCGGAAAAGTGAGCACCGCCGAGAGTGACGCGACGACACTCTCGACGCCTTCGGAACCGGTTACCGCGCGAGTAACCTCCCTCAGTTCCGGGGCACATGCATTCTCCATTCTTTCGAGGACTATGCTGCCCGGCTCGTACCTTCGCTGAATTCACGAGCCCAAGGACAGGATGTATGTGCGGTCTCTTCTCCGATCGGAAGCAGCAGCATTGATTCGTCTTCAAGTGGACCTTCATGGGATTCGGCGCGCACGTTCAACATTGAGGACATGGACCCGTTGACGCCTGAGGATTTTGCATGGCTTCCTCTCCCTTCCACCGACTGCTTACCAGAGCCGCAATGCGCAGCTCTTCACACTCATTTACATACATACCTAGCCTTCTATGCACCACCAACTTCACCTACGGAGGACGAGGTCGCGGTGGGGGACATTCTTGCGTATGTGAGCAAGGTGGCCCGCGAGTTTCGCACGCAGCGGTACGACGACAACAACGCACCGCTCCTTTATGTCTGCATCCAAATCGGGCAAGCGTCCTGCAGCGCTTTCCTGGATAGCGACACGACTCGCAACTTTATTAGCCATTCCTTCATGCAAAGGGCCGACCTTGGACCACAAGTTCGAAGGAAGGCACACCCTACGACGATCAAGTTGGCGGGCGGTCAAACGCAACAACTCCTTGATCGCTACATCGAAGCCGTCCCGGTTTATTTCGCACCTTATGCATGCGAACCGGTGACGTTTGACGTCTTAGACACGGAATTCGACATCATTTTGGGCATGCCTTGGCTCGCAAGTGCGGATCACACGGTCAACTTCCATCGGCGGACACTTACGGTTCACGACGCGTTCTGCGCCAAAGTACCATGTACCATTCCTCCTCCGCACCTTTCGATCCAGTGCCAAGTTGTAACAGCGAAGTCTTTTCGGGCCACTTGTGCTTACGAGCGGACCGAAGAGATCGGCTTATGTTTTCTTCGAACCGTCGTGATAGCCGACTCTCCACCTACGGACTTGTCTTCAGACCCCCGGGTGGTGCGGTTGATCGACGAATTCGCCGACGTCTTCGAGTCACCTACCGGCGTGGTGCCAGATCGGCCAATCTCTCACGAGATCATTCTTGAGGCTGGTGCCGTGCCGCCAAAAGGTTGCATTTACCACATGAGTGAGGAGGAACTTACAGTCCTCCGCACGCAGCTCGACGACTTGTTGGACAAAGGCTGGATCCGGCCTAGTAGCTCACCCTATGGTGCGCCAGTTCTCTTCGTTCGGAAAAAGAACAAGGACCTTCGCCTATGCATCGATTACCGCAAGCTCAATGCGCAAACCGTCAAGAACGAGGGACCTCTTCCTCATATTGACGATCTTCTGGAGCGCTTGGGCGACGCGAAATGTTTTTCCAAACTAGACGTGAAGTCAGGATATCATCAGATCTCAATTCGGCCGCAAGATCGCTACAAGACCGCGTTCAAGACACGGTATGGGCACTTCGAGTGGGTTGTTATGCCTTTTGGACTCACCAACGCCCCGGCGACTTTTCAAGCGGCGATGACCAACGAGTTCCGAGCAATGTTGGACCGGTTCGTGCTGGTCTACTTGGACGACATCCTCGTCTATAGCCGGACCTTGGAGGAACATCTTGACCATCTTCGACGAGTGTTGGAGACACTCCGGCGCGCCAAGTTCAAAGCCAACCGCGATAAGTGCGAGTTCGTGCGTCAAGAGTTGGAATACTTGGGCCACTTCATCACTCCACAAGGCATCAGTCCGTTGTCGGATAAGATTCAAGCCGTCCAAGATTCGCCGGAGCCGCGGAACGTCACGGATGTCCGATCATTCCTTAGCCTCGCTGGCTACTACCAACGTTTCATCAAAGGCTACTCGAAGATCGCGGCTCACTTAACCAGGCTTCAATGCGAGGACCGGCCGTTTGACTTCGGGACGGACGCGCGGGAATCATTCTTGGCCCTCAAGGCCGCATTGCTTTCCACGGAGGTATTGCGGACATACGACCCGCTACTGCCAACGCGCGTCACCACGGACGCATCCGGCTATGGCATTGGTGCCGTCCTCGAGCAACATGACCGCGTGGACTGATACCCGGTCGAATACTTCAGCAAGAAAGTGTCGGTCGTGCGCTCCATCGATGATGGACGCAAGAAGGAACTTCTCGCCTTCGTCCACGCACTCAAGCGGTGGCGGCACTTCCTCCTCGGTCGACGCCAGTTCCGATGGGTAACGGACAACAATCCGTTGGTCTTCTACAAGTCTCAAGACACCGTCAATAGCACCATCGCCCGTTGGATGGCCTTCATTGACCAATTCGACTTCTTTCCCGATCACATTCCGGGGAAGTCAAACCGTTTTGCGGATGCCCTTCCGCGGCGTCCGGACCACTGCACCGCGGTCTACTCAACCTTCGAGATCGAGGACGACTTGCGGGACACCTTCATCCGCGGCTATCAAGCCGACCCCGAGTTTCACGACAAGTACGCAAATTGTTCCTCTCCCAATCCGGCGCCTTCGCACTATCGGATCCAAGAGGGATATATGCTTCTTCACTCGCGAGGAAGGATCTTCTTTTTGTGCCGCCAGATTCACATTTGCGCACCCGGCTTCTTGGCGAGTTCCACGACACCCCCGCCACCGGAAACTTTGGAGTCAATCGCACGATTGGCCGACTACGCGAGTGCTTTTGGTGGCCCGGTCTCCTCGACGACGTCAGGAGCTATTGCGAGTCATGCGAAGTTTGTCGAGGTTGCAAACCTCGCAATCATCGTTCGTATGGCGAACTGCGACCATTACCGGTCCCCTTGTGCCGAAGGGAAGCGATTGCCATGGATATAATCGGGCCGTTCCGCAAGCACAAGACGGGCATCGATGGGATTCTCACGGTGGTTGACCGCCTCACCCAGTTTGCCATGTTCTTGCCTTGCTGCTATCACGCCAAGGCACCGGAGTTGGCCAAGGTTCTCTACGCCAGTTGGATTCACACCAAGGGTTACCCCAAGGAAATCGTTTGCGACCTCGACACTCGGTTCATGTCCGATTTTTGGTTGGCGCTCATCAAACGATGGGGCTCATCCCTCAAGCCAAGTTCGGCTCGCCACCCCCAAACCGATGGCCAAACGGAGAGGGCACATCAGACCGCACAGGTCCTCCTTCGAGCTCTCATCCGTCCCGACCAGAAAGATTGGGTTGAGCGGCTGCCGGATGTCGAGTTGGCATACAACTCGTCCATCCATCCGGCTATCAGGATGTCGCCCTTTGAGTTCGAGCATGGCTCGCCGGTCAATTCTCCGTTGGACACAATCCTTCCACGGACGGCCGAGAGCGACGACCACCTCTTCTTCATTCGTCGGATGCAATAGCTTCTTGTCAAGGCATGCGACCAGATGGCAAAGACGCAGCAATGTATGTGCCAACAGGCCAACCGCCAGCGTCTTCCTTGTCCATTCCGCGTCGGCGACCTCGTATGGGTTTCCGCTGCGGAATTCAGCCTCGAACAAGATATCTCTCGCAAGCTCCTTCCGAAATGGATGGGGCCCTGGCCGATCGTGGCACCCGCTGGGGACGCACCCGAAGGACCGTCGTTCATCATTCAGGTGCCCGCCCACTTGCCCGTCAACCCGGTCTTTCACTGTTCCAAGTTGGATCTCTACACGCCAGCGGAACTTGACGATTTTCCCGGGCGACGATCGCAAGACCCACCCTCGATGGACGGTTTCCAGGAGGTTAGCGACATCATATCCCAGCGTCGTTACGACAACAGGCCAACTGAATTTTTGGTCCACTTCGCATATTGCACCCATAGAGCTGACCGATGGCTGACTCGTGCGGAACTTCAGGCAACAGCGCCCGATGCTCTCGCACGCTATGAACAGAAGTTGAAAGGCAAGCCAGCATCTTCGGCTCCACGACGCACACGCGTCCTACCGCCTTCAGATCGTCAGCTTTGCCCCCGACCAGCTTGACTTCATAAGGAGGGGGGGGTGTTGCATGCTGCGCCTGCACACAGGCCCCATTTGAGGGGCCCGACGGTTGCTGAGGGGGCCCCAGGCCGCGTACCATCCAGCACGCGCCTTGGAGGCCCACGGCGGCCCTCCAGGCCCTAGGCAGCACGCTAGGTAGATAGGCTGTAGTTTTACTTACCGTTTTTTTGGTGTGTGTGTGCTGTCTTATTTTTGTTTGTTCATGTGCCGTTTCGGACTTGCAGCCCCAAGGCCGAACCTTGGGACTGGGTACACTGGAGGCAGGCCTGAAACGAGGCCAGGCGCATTTTGGCGCCAAACCAACAGGTACCGGCGTCGTTTCGGTCCTGCAGGACCCAAGACAACACCTTGGGCCAGGTGCACCGGTAGAAGACCGTTTTTAGGGCAGGTGCATTTCTGCGCCATGCTGCAGCAGCAGCAAGGTCTGGACGTCCGGTAGGGACCCAGACCACCTGGGCCGGTTTAGGCCACACAGCACCAGGTAGGCCCAGCCGCCCAGCGCTACAAATAGCTGGGCAGCAGCTGGGCCACACACAGTTCGAGTCGCTCACTTCTGAGCGACACGCTGCTGGTTGGAGGCTGCGCTATACTGCACTAAGTCACGGGGTAGAGAGTAGGGAATAGGAGAGATAGGGAGTGGCGGAGGCCATACCTGCAGTCGGCGAGCTTACCTGGCGCCATAGCTGGGCTCCACGCGGTACCTGCACACAGCAACGGACGAAGTCAGTTCAGTGCCAACTACCTGCAGGTGAGATGGTGAGAAGGGCTTGATCTTCCTCTCTCCCTCCTCCATCTCTCTCTCTCTCTCTCCCTCTCTCTCTCTCTCTCTCTCTCTCTCTCTCTCTCTCTCTCTCTCTCTC